ATGCCATGCTGTGCAAAGTCACACAATGTTCAGGTGAACAGTCCTAGAGGAGGTTTCCTTAACTCTTCATGGAACATCTGCTAGGGAGATGACGTAAGTTCCTGACCGCTTCATCAGGCATCTAGAATCTCTTTGATCTTCTTGGTTTAGGATCCAACTATTGTCCTTCTGAACAGAACTGGAGTTTGGCAACGAATATGTCTGTATCTCAGTTTATACAGTTCAAGGCATTTAAAAGAAGATTTCTCTCTCAGTAATCTGGTTAATAAAGTCCCTCCCTGCTTGTTTGAGTCAACTTGTCTGTGGCTCCAGAAACTGTGGAGTAGAGATGAGCTATACCTGGTGTGCTCTTTTGACTTTCTTGATCTATGCGTAAGATAAGGAGGAGTTGTTTCACTTATGGTGCTTTGTTATATAAGAGATAACTAGAGAGTGGGATAACTAAGTGGCTCTCCAGGGAGTGTGGTGTCATGAAACCAGAGTCAATTTCAAAGAGAAAGGAGTTGTGAACAGTGTAAAAAATGCTGCTGACAGATCAAATAAGGTAAGGGGCGGGGGAAGCCTTTAGATTTTAGGAAGGAGGACAGTGGTGACTCGCAAGAGCAGTTTCATTGAGAGTAGATAACAAAATTCTTTGACATAGAGAGCAGAGAAGAGGAACAAAGGAGGAGCTGGCTTTAGGGCAAAGAGAGTTCTTCGTTCTGTGATAAAAAAGAGAAGTGGTCTCTCCATATTGCAGGTCTACAAGTCCAAGAGGTTCTCTTATGAGAATTTCTTTTCTCTTCTGGGCTAAGATTTGTCTTTTAATCATCTCTCGAATCTTTTTTTTTTCAAGACAGTGTTTCTCTGTGTCACAGCCCTGGATGTCCTGGAACTAGCTCTGTAGGACAGGCTGTCCTCGAACTCTCTGAGATCTCTCTGCCTCTGCCTCCCAAGTGCTGGGATTAAAGGAGTGTGCCAGCATTGCCAAAAACTTCTAATCTTAGCTTCACATCCAGTTTTTCCCATGGATAGATTGGAGCTAAACCATACTCATCCTGCATCTCTTCACACGTGAGACCTGTAGCTCACGGCTAGGATGTGAGGGTGAAAGCAGAGATCATGAGAGACCCTTGTTCCACCTATAAATATGGCCCCTGTAGCCCTAAGTTTCTCTCCTCATGGATTTTACTTGGCATTTAATAAAAACTCATTTGAAGCTGCCAAGTCTTCTAATTATATTTCTAATTATAATGCAACAGGATTTTTTTTAAAAAAAATAGCTTTTGTGCTTCTAGAGTGGGCTACTGTGAAATCAATAGTAGAGTCAGAATGGGGCCCAGGATCTGGTGACATAGAACATCTCACCAAAGCTGCTACTACAAAGAATATTATGCTGACCTGGATCTAGCAGAATCTGAACTGACTTTTATTGGATCTGAAAGAGAAGGAAAGCAGAGCAAGTCCAGGTTATGCCTACTACTTGTCATGTGACTGACCAAGAGGTCACTATCTTAAGTGTAATAAGCTAGTCACAGAAAGACAAGAGCACTGTGATCTTATTTATGTGAAATATAAAAGAAAGAAAACAAAACTGTGATAGTTAATATTAATTGCCAATGTGACCGAATCTAGCTAGAATCACTTAGGAGAAGACCTCTGAACATGACTGTGGGAGATTATCTGAATTACCTTAATAAAAACAGGAAGGCCTGCCCACTGTGGGTGGAATCATTCCCTGACTGGGATTCTGAACATTTAAATGGAGAAAATGAGCTGAGCAGTGTTCATACACGCACGCATACATCGCTCACTCATTCTTGGTTATGTATATGATTCAACTTCTTGCTGCCTTGACTTTCCTGCCATGGTGTACACTGAACCATGAGCTGGATCTAAAGTTAACCCTCCCTTGAGTTGCTTTTTTAAGAGCATTTTGTCATTGTATCACAAAAGAAACAAAGACAAAAACACAGCTCAAGCATAAAGCCCCAAATGTAGGCTTGATAATGATAATCATTTCACTGTGTATGTTTACCACAACATTATATTTTATACTTTAAACACTTAAAATTTAAGGGACAATACAAGGCAGAAGGCCCAGAAAGCAGTTTTTTTAAGAAGTGCAGGCATCTTTAGCCTCACTGTAGTATATGGGCACATCATTGACTTGCTGGGTGAAAGAAAGTTATGTAACTAGAAGCCACTGAAGCTGGAGAGAGGCATGCCTCGAGTTCTGGGACCCTACTGATAGAATGTCCCCAGATTATTTCTTTCTGTACCCTCCCTGTTACTTTTACTTCTTGTTGGACCTTTTACAAGGAGTCTGTGTTCTAGGGTGTCTGCTATACAAGCCCAGACTCTGAAGGAGTCAGCAGGTATGCCTGTGGTTTCAGAAGGGTCTGCCACTCACTCATGTCTTCTTACCTGTCTGTAGGTCTCTAGGAAGAGGAACTAATGGATTATTAATGAGACCTCCACATTTAAAAGCAGGCACGAACAAACAATGATTTAATTAGGAAAAAAAGCTTTTTAAAGTGGTTTGAAACAGTGCATGCTTATTGGCACTGGAATGTTCTCAGAGTTGCTTCAGAAGGCTGCACATTATATTTGCTTGTCCCCGTTGGCATCTACTGATCATGGAGAAAGCATCTACCTTACCCAACCCTACCATGTAGTTCTGACCTAGATTACTATTTGCTTATTCAGTAAACATTTATTGTGCGCCTACCACATGCTAGAAGGTACTTTTACCCTGGTACACTCAATGCTCTGGGGATGTTCTTCCCTTCTTCTTTCCTTTTCCTTTTATTCTCTTTCTACTTTTCTATCTTTCTCCCTTTTCGGTTCTTCTTCCCCACCCCCAACACACACACACACACACACACACACACACACACACAACACACTGGGGTTTTTTTTGTACCACAAAACCATAAAATATTCAAACATAGGTTTACTGGTCCCAGAAACCAGGAGTGTAACAGCTGGTGATTCCCCTAAGACTAAGTAAATATTTTTCAGAGGCAAGGTGATTTCAGATTCTTAACGAAACAATAAGACTTAAATATTATGTGGAGGAATTTTATAAACATGGCTGCTTCTGGCATTTCTGCATATTACTATGAGGTGATTGAAATGCATGGACCTGGACAAAGGGATTAGTGTAGCAATAGCTTCTATCACATGACCATTCAGCTGAATGAGTATCTGTGGTCAGACCACTTAAGCCCTTCTTTCATTTTGGAGAATAATGTGTGTGTGTGTGTGTGTGTGTGTGTGTGTGTGTGTGTGTGTGTGTGTAACACTCTCTGAAGAATATATTTTTCCCATTTCAGGGACCAAGTAAATTTCTCAAGTACATCTCTTGAGATTACCTCTAAGATTTTTGAGAACACTATGAAAAACAAAGGCGGCATTAATACCTTAAAATATGGCTTAACCAGTCAGATGCTTTCTATCACTTTACTTGTAATATTGTCAAATGAAAACAGACTCGCTGGAAAGGGAAACATATCCAGAACTGTAATGAAAATACATTTTCTTTTCTTTCATGTTGGGTAAGGAGTCATTCAAAGCTATGTTTTCATACAGGATCCATTCTAGATCACTATAACTGATCTCATGCTCCGGAGATACTATTTTCTGGTGGTGTTAAGAAGTGGAAAGTTTAGGGTACCAGAGTGGGCATCAAAGTCAAGAATGTAGTAAATACTGTGTATAAGACTAATGAATGAAATTATTCCAGCACAAGTACAATTCATAAAGAGTTTAATAAACAGCCACTAAACATTGCACCAAAGCATTTAGAAACACAATTTCTACAGAGAGGCAAAGGTCAAGCTTTCGTTCTAAATTCCTTAAGACGATCATTAACAGCCCCCACCCACCTCCCATCCCTACACATCCACAAGACAATACTCTTCTAGTCACAAATGTACCTACAGACACAGTCTTAAGCATAATGGGACTGGCATGCATCATCCCAGCAATGGCAAGGAAGCAGGGGATAAGGGAAATATGGGCGAAAAGGCAACCAGCAGCTAACCACACACCCCTTAGGAGCTTTGTTCAGCGGGTGTGCAGAGATTCTACTTATGGCTTTACCTTGGACCTTCTGGATACTGTGGACTAGTTGAGCTATTCAGATTCAAAGTAGCTGGGGCTGTTGTATTAAACAGTCTCATTCCTTCAAGTCATTACTTCTAGAAGTGATCGTTTTGGGTAATGCATTGTTACCTTCCTAAAGACCTTTATAATGTCAAACTGTCTTCATGACCCAGAGGGCTTACTGTAGCTGTGCTCATTCTAAGGTAAGAATGAACCTCGCTTCTCAGTTATTCCTTCATTTTGGCCCTTGGGAATGGGTGTAGGATATTTATTTATTAAAGACATTTATAAGAAGTCCAGGCAAATTATTCAAACTTCTGGGACTACCTTATAAAAATTGTGTTTATGTCTGTCCTTTTTGCTTATGTTTAAGAACAAAATGAGATCAAATGGCCTCTAATACATTATAAAATCGGTAATAAAGTTAATAATTTAACTGGCTCAAAATAAGTAGAGATATTTGTGTGAATCTGCAATTCACCCCTCATTGCAGTCGGCATCCAAAGTAGGTAAGAAGTCCTGGACATAATGGAAGCAGAGTGCCTGTGTCTGGAAGAGGAGCACGATATGTACAATATGGAAGTAAGAGGTTGGCTTTCCCCTGCTTGTGGCCATTTCTTTTGAGGCAGATTTCAGTGTTTAACCACTACCAGCCATCACATTCCATCTATTGTTTGACTAATTGCCTTGCCAGGGACTTGAGTTTCATAGGTTCCCCATCTTTGACTAATTTTTATATAGGCATTCAATCTCGATCATCTTGTGTGTATGTGTACATTTTTAATTTAACTTCAAAATGTTTCTTCTTTTTTCCAGAAGAGTTTCCAGGCATCCATTGATCCAAAGTAAGCAATACTCCGCTGACTATAATGAGCTCGGTGTTACTTAGGCAAGGGAATTTTCCTGAAGAAGACTTATATTAAGGTGTTACTTTCCTGAGGGACTTGTTGAAACTGGAGTAGAGCTCACTTTTAATGCTTGAATGATCCAGCTAGTTCTCTTTTTTATTATACATGTTTGACACAGGTTATCCTCAATTGTTTCCACTAATTGCTAATTTAGGGGTCATATCAGAAGTTTGATAGGATTCTTTCTTCCCATTCTACCAGTTCATATGTCTAGTAGGCCCTGCTGGAGGCATAAAAGGGGCCAGATTGATAAGATTAAATGGGATATCTGGGCCTAACACCACAGTGCGTCATAATCATCCTATGCAACTCAGTTAATATGTTCCGGGATCTCAACACCTTGAACCCCACAAAGCCAAGATTTCCACTAGAAGAAGTAAGAGTCTCCTGTTCCTTCATTATTGGGCAGAGTAACATTAAACACATGCAATGCCCTCAGCTGGGGAAGACTGGCATACTAAAATGAGCAACTGGACAAATGGCAGTGTTTGACTCAATCCAAGCAATGTTCAAAGGACAAGTCATTTTTCTGTTGTTACATTTTCATTGAGGCTCATAATATGAACTGAGAAAGCAATTACACTCAGCTTGGAACAGGGTTAAAAAGAAGAATCATGAAACACATGAAGGGAGCCCTAGGTTTTGGGTGTTTGGATGCTTCATGGAGTATAATGTGCCACCACTATTATCTACTGTTTGCAGATCATGCCCTTGATAGCTGATTCCCGGTTCACATATGTAGCCCAATAGACAAGATTGAATATAGCAAAGAGCACAGGAAAGATGATGCGGGAAATTTTGTCAACCTTGCTGACACTGTTGTAGGTCTTGGTCTCAGCAGGGCTCTCCTGCACATAAGTGGCCTTGGGCGAAGCAACGACTGTTGGAGTTGAAGAAGCACTTGGAGCAGCACCCTTGGAGATGGTGGGGAACTCAGCATCCTTGGTCAGGTTCATAGGATAGGTGGTTCCCACGATGTTGAAAGTGGTGCTTGTTTTCTTTGTTGGGGCTGCTGGTGTTTTCTTCTAGAGCCATAAAAGAGAGGGGAGGGGGAGAACAAAACAAACAGTAGATGATGAATTCATTATACAAAGTACATTTGGGAACTTCAGGGAGGAAGAGCCATGAAGGACATTAATGAACCTGCTAAGTAGTAGATTTCTACAAAGGGATACTATTTTGAAAACAGAAAACCAGAATGCACCATTTTAACTATCCTAGTCAGTCCCAGTTGTCACCTTGGCACAGTCTTAAGTCACCTGAGAATGGAGCCTTAATCGAAGGATTGCCCGCATCAGGGTTGTTTTTTAGGGCATGTCTGTGGGGACCTGTTTTGATTGTTCATTGATGTAGATAGGTCTAGATCACTGTGGGCATCACTATTCTTTAGGCAGGTGGTACTAGACTATATAAGAATGTTATCTAAGCATGGGCCTTCAGATTGGCCAGCAAGCAGCATTCCTTCATAGCTTCTGCTTCAAGTTCTTGCTTGAGTTCCTGCCCCAGCTCCATTCACTGATGGACTGTGACCTGGAAGTATAAACCAAACCAACCCTTTTCTTAGTTGTTTATAGCCAGTGTTTTATCACAGCAACAGAAAGAAAACTGAAAAAATCTGGCTATGTGTCTTTGGATAAATCATTCCTCCTTTGTGAGCTTCAGTTTCTTCATTTGTGAACTGAAGGTAAAAATAGCTGGCAGATTATTGAGAGGATCAGAAGAGAGAATGCAGTGGGAATTGCAAGGAAGAGTGAGATTTTCTATATTGCATGATTTCATCCTTCACAATAAACCTATGAAGTAGGTGACATTATTCACACTTAATATGTTAGTAAGCCTCAGATTAAGTGGCAGAACACATACTACCAATCTGAGTTCCTGACTTTTGTCCATAGACACACCATGCTGCTTTCTCTAGCACAAGGTACTCTTGGTTACCCGAGGGAAAAACTCCAAAAAGGCTGCGGCCATCAAGGGGCACACTTCCTGTGAAGAAGAGAGCTTGGTGAATCTGCAAAGTCATTCCATCTTAAAGATAATAATAAACACTATGGAATATTTCCATGCACGATCACAACAGCATGCTGCCTTCATGCACTATAAAGGTGCTTAGCAAAGGAGGGGGTGTACAAAGGTTTTCCACTCTTACCAGGCAGCTAGTAGGAGCCACACCCTCCCCACAGAGCTGAAGAAATGACCTGTTCACACATAGCGAAAGTAAAGACAGTGGCAAGATTGCTAGGACATTGCACTTTGGAAGCTTTCCTCCCCCCCAAACATAAGCTATCCCCAAAACACAGTCAAAAGTTCTCCCTCCTCCCCCCCCCACTCTGGTGCTACATCGAGGCTGCCAGTGTTTAGGTCCCGATTGGAATAGAGTGGCTGTATGGCACGGAGAGCAAAGGAGTTCGCTAGCTCATAACTGCAGCCCAAGGCAGTGGCCTAGTCCAGGGTGCAAAAACTCTTCTAACGTCTTCCCTCCAGTTCTTCTTCAGACACCTCAATCTCTCTCTTGATGCTTCTCAGAAGCTGGAATTAACTTCCTCACTCTCCCAGTGCCTTACCTGTTTCCTTACTAGGTTTCTCTGTTCCTGCCCTCTTCTGTTGCTTCTTTCTTCTTTTTCTTACTTCCCCAGAATTCTCATTTTTATCTTTCTGACATTAGATCACAGCACCATTTACCTTCCTGATCCAAATAATTGCCTTTGTACATTTATTGAATATAAACAGTGCCAAAACATACAATAGCTATTTAGAGTGAAGTAGGAAGGTTAGAAGTTATACTTCATTCCCTTTCTCCTAGGTACTCACAGCCTATTGTCAAAGAGAGCTGTGAACACATGATTGTCATAATGTGTAACCTGGGTCCTAACTGTTTTGAGTAAAGTGTTATCAGTGTACCTGCAAGTGTGGAAAAGGCAATTCAAGGGAGGCTATGAGGTTTCCAGTATGAATATTAACAATTGAACAAGAAAAAAAATTAAAAATGGTCCTCTTGTGGGACTCCTAACAGTGGGAACAGGGGCTGTCTCTGACTCTTTTACTGACTTTTGGGACCCTACTCCTCATACTGGGTAACCTTAGCCAACCTTAGTATATAGAGAGGTGCTTAGTCTTGCTGCAATTTGATATGCCATGTTTCATCGATATCCATGGGAAGTATTCCCTCTCCTGAACAGAAAACAGAGGAGGAGTAGATTTGAAGGTGAAAACAAAGGGGGAGGGACTTGGAGGAGAGGAGGAAGGGTAAACTGTGGCTAGTATGTAAAATACATTTTTAAAAAAGTTGAGCAGGCAGGAGTCAGCAAATGATAATGCAGCAAAGGCCAGTGCACAGGTGCAGACCACTATTGGGGCATGACAACTGTTAACTGAATCACAGTGAGCACAACAAACACGGTATAAGAACTGAAGGCACAGAAAGAAAAGGCCAGATCTTTGCGCTATCCTGTGACTACTCTATTATAGGCAAAGAGCCTTTATTCCAGTGAAGGGGAAGACTCTTGGCCACTCATTGTGCTCAGAGGAATCCTGCTGAGGACAGGAAGGAGAGATTGTAGGAGTCAGGGGGTTCAGGGACATCAGAGCAAAATCCACACAGAAGACTAGCCTGGCTAATGGGAATCGGTTCCTCATGCTGGATTGCCTTGTCCAGCCTGAATACAGGGGGATGTACTCGGTCTTATGGTATCTTGATATGCCACGCTTTGCTGATGCTCATGGGAGACCTGCCCTTCCCTGAAAGAATAAGGAGGGTTGGTGGGCAGAGGGAGTGGGAGGAGATAGGGGAGGGGAGGCTTTGGTCAGGATTAAAATAAATATAAATTAATTAATTGAAAAAAGAAAATGCCAAATATTGAAAGACCTTGTATACCACACTCTGCCTGCCTATGTTGACACCAGTATTCTTAGTCAGGGGCAGGGAGTGTGGGAAATGAGGGGTGGGAGAGCGTGCAAGATAAAGGGGTATTCATTTAAGTTAATAAACAGTCTGACTAATAAGACATTTGAAAAGCAATACTTTTCTTCTTTGTTGGAAGATTATAGCTGCATTGTTACAAGCAGAACTCAATGCCTTCTAAGAACCTTCTAAATACTTTAAATACTACACCAGGCTCACTTATAATTAGCAAAGTCATTGTGTGAATAGAGTCCCACTGCTAAATGCCTTTGCCATTAAATAAAATAGTGCTTTATTTCTTTGCCTGCTTATTAACTTGCTTAGCCATTTTTCCCCATGGTTAGACAAAAGAAAAAAAAAACAAGCAAAGCAAAACAAAAAGCTAGAAAGAAAGTGAAGAAAACTTTACACTGACTTTGCTAAAAAAGCTTTTGGATGTCATCTTATAAGCTGGTTATGACTAGGTCTTTGAAACAATCACTTGGGTCAACACTTTCTTTGCATCCACATCCACTTTATGTTCTGTAGGTGACGAGAAGCAGCAGGTGATTTAATCACAGATTATTTAAGTAGTAAAGTAAAATTACCTTATGGTTTCTCTCATCATTTTCAACATAACATAATTTAATCACTACTATATTTCTACCTACATTGCCTAAAAATGAAATGAAATTGAATGTTACAGCCTACAGCAGGATGCAGAGAAGTTGCCTTTTAATGAGAGAATTCTAAGTCTTGGAGATGAAAAGTATTCTGGAGATTAACTGTAATTGTGCTGATCATTCTTGAATTGCACACTTAATTGTTTAAAAATATCTAGACGGGAAGGAGATAGGAACAAGTAGGGTGAGAGTAATCAGAATGCATTGTATACATATATGAAATTATCAAAAAAATTTTCATTACTAAAAAACAAAAATACAACATTTTACCATAATTTAAATTTCATATATCTGTATGTGACAGTTAATTTCAATTGTCAACTTGGCACAATCTGGCTTGGGAAGACAATCTTAAGTGAGAGATTTTTCTACATCAGGTTACTCCTTGGGCCATCTGTGGGTGACTATCTTGGTTGAGTTAGTTGATATGGTAACACTCACACTAAAAGTGGGTGGACACCATTCTCTGAGCTTGGGTCCTAAATGAACTGAGCAGTAGGTATGCATGCATTCATTTGTCTCTGCTCTTAACTGTGGATGGGATGTGACTGGCAGCTTCAGAATTTTGTCCCCCTACTGTCCTTCAGTGCTGGGCTGCAACCTAAAATTGTGACTTAACTAGGACATACATCTGCATTTATCTAAATAATTAAATGAATCATATTGCTGCAGTTTGGACTACCTAATTTTAACTATATATACTATGTTGCTTATGATAGTTACTTTACACAATACATTTGTAAATGAATATGAAAAATTATAAAATGAATGAAAGACCTTAATCTCAGCAAAGTCAGAAAAAAAGACAATTTGGGGATGGGGAAATAGTTCATTGAGACCAGAGTTAACCCTGCTAACATCCATGTTCACAAATGAGATTGAAATCCTAGTGCTGGGAGGACAGGCAGGGCAGTCCCTAGGGCTTGCTGGCCAGACAGTCCAGTTGAATTGGTAATGCCTAGGGAGGGCCAGTGAGAGATTCTGTTTCATAAAATGAGGTAAAAATTGAAAGAGGAAGGCAAATCAACTTATAGGGATCAGTTAAGCCTATAGAAAGGAAAGAATATGCAGATGGAAGGCCAGCTTCCTCAAAGAATGGGAGTTATCTAAACTATATATATCCAGGTTCAAGTTACAGATTAGAAGGAAAAAAAATGAAAGAAATTCAGATACTACTAGTGTTTTGAGGAGAAGAGAAAAAGATAAATATTGAGGTGAACTTCATATGAAGGTTTCCATACTCCCTGGAATGACAGTAAAAGAAAGAGTCAACAGAAGAAAATCAAATGGCAAAAAAAAAAATTTAAGGAATTACTGAACACCCTTAGCCACCAGGAAAATATAAATCAAACCAACTCTGAGGAACCATCTTATACCCGTCAAAATGGCTAAAATCAAAAACACTGATGACAGCTTATTATGGAGAGGAGGTGGAGTAAGGGGAACACTCCTGCACTGCTGG